GTTGGGAGTGTTTTGAGGTTGTGTTGCTGAGTTGTGAGGGAGAGACCTTGTCATGGCATTTTGTGGTGCCAAGAAGTGATCTTTTGGCTTAAAAGACCAAGCTTGGTGTGCCATTTTCGTGTCTTGCTTTAGTCTGCACCTTGGTGCTGTGAAGAGTGCTCCATTTGTGTCTCATTTTTGGAGTTGTGAGCCTTTGAGGTATACCATGATCACCTCTTTGTCATTTTGGAGTTTAAAGCTTGTTTAATCAATTAAAAAGAGGAACTTTAACCATTTGAGTAAAAGAATGTGTTGTTGGGTTCATAACTTATTGGTGATTATCTGTTTAGGGAGTCATTGGACTCCCAATCGCTTTTGGACCTTTAAATTTGGGATTATGCAGAAGTTGGCTCGAATTTCTGCATTCTGTTGAAGGAGTATTCGAATACTTTTCGTGTAGTATTTGAATACTTATTCATCAGGTAGTCGAATACTCATTGCTGGAGTATTGGGATACTTTCTGGGAAGAAAGTATTCGATTACCCTTGCAGAAGTAGTCAAATACTTAATAGTATTCGAATACTTGGGGTTTGGTATTCAGATACCTTGTGGTATTCGAATACTGGAGTGAAATTATTCGGATACTTTCTGGAGAGCTGGAGTATTCGAATACTACTCGTGGAGTATTCGAATACCTCCTGCAGAAATAGCATGTAATGAGTTAAAATGAGTAAGAAAGACTTAATCACTTAGTGTAATCTGTGCTATGATTATTGATGATTAATTATGGTATGGGCAGATTGTGATTGTGTTGTTTGTGGGCCTTGAGATAGTGTGGACTCTTGGCTTGGATAGCTAGCTTGCAAGGTAAGCTTTCGTATCCTTGGTTTAGCCATGTTGTGGTTCCACCATGTCCCATGGGGGTATGGTTATATGCGTGATGTGTTACATGCTTTTGATGTTTTGGAAATATTGTTGAGTTGTTATATGCTAGTGCCCTTATGATATACATGTGGTGTTCCACCTATACGGTAAGCCTGAGTATGTGGTACATACAAGATGGTGAGGCTGTGGGTGAGGTGCAAGCGGTGTTCCTTGTACTACGTGTGGATAATAGACGTATTTCTGCATTTCTCTGGCCAGTAGAATAGTTTAAACACACATGACATGAATATCTGTTGCACTGCATAGTTTTGGAACTTATATTGATATAAATGCTTTTAGGACTTATATTGCACATGTAAGTGAGCTTGGGGTGGAAGATCTTTGAGGACCCCTTGTCTTACTGAGATTTCTTGTTAGAGATCTCACCCCACGTTTGGGGAATGCTTATTTCAGGGTCAGGTAATGATGAGACCTCAGGCGGCAGAAGGCCGGAGCTGAGTTAGCTAGTGATGACATTATATGCTGACATGTTGGATGCTGGATATGCTTGCTGTTTCTATGCTTTTGCTTCATGTTATGATTTTGGATTATCTTGTTGAGACGCTGTTGATTTGGTGAGCATAGGGATTGTCCATGCCAGGTAGACTTGTTATGTTTTGCTTTTATTAGAGTTGTATTAATGTATCAGAGTATTGTCCGGATTACGTGATGTAATACCGTGACTTACATACTCACTTTATTTTTATATTGAGGTATTTCAGTAGATGTCTTATTGCAATTTACATTCAGGCGATATTTTATGAAATTGATTAAGTAATCAAGTTGGTAATTGATGATGACGTCATAATTGAAAAGAAAAAGAATATTCCGCATTTTTAATTAAGCGTAGCTTAATACGATGTAATGATAACACTACCGGATATATACAGGGTGTTACATTTTACTCTCTCACCTCTGTATTGGTTATTGTCTATGCTGTGGGAGTCTCTTTGTTGGTCCAGTTTAGGGTAGATGGGGTTTGCAAATCGATCATAGTGGTGGGTGTGATTTGGTAAAATAAATCATTTCACTCTTAGTATCTTTTTACCTCAGATTCTTTATTTTTCTTTTGTTATTTTAATAATTCATGTAATGGATTCCTCAATTCGCGACTCTAATTTTACTGATTAATTTCAATATGCACCCTTTCAATTTTTTTGTATATGGATGAGTTTCTTCATTTGTTTGGTGATGTTCATCTTTTTAATTATTTTGTAGAATTAAATTTATATTGCCTAGTATGGTTTAAAGAATAGGAACAAACAGGAACTGAACTAACAGAAGCTGAGATACACAAAGATACACAAGTACTAAGGGGGTGTTTGGTACAAAGGAAAATTTTAGAATCCTGGGAAAGTTGAATTGGGAATGTTATTTTCCCACGTTTGGTACAAGGAAGAGTAAATTTTTTCCAGGAAAATTAGATTTCCTGAGATTCCAATTTGTGAAGTAAAATTCCAAGTTAGAATACCACCGGGTGCGTGGTATTTTTGAATTCCCACCTGGTGGGAATATTGAACAAACTTTTTCGGACAAATCTACCCTGTCTTGTTGGCCCAGCCCTAAAAGATCTTCTCTATCTTCTTTTTTATCTTCATTTCCCTGATAATGTTTGGGATATTGAGGCCAATAGAGAAACGCTTAGTTGGATAATCAATGCCATAAGGGTATGAATCGACACAGGTTGTGGTTATTGGGTAGTTATTATTGCCATTATCAACAAGCAAATTGCCAAAAACAAAAAATGCTCGAGCCTCAGCTTCTGGAGCAACAATGCTCAGAGTGATCAAGATAAGAAAATTGGATAAAAAATTAGATTTAAACACGATAAAAGTTGTTTTGTTTTTTAACTTATTTAGAATTAGGATTTAGAAATTAGATATAAAATAAATTTAAACATTTTTACATAATAGCATCATGTTTATGATTTGTGATATTGAATATTATTTTGAAATGTTAGATAGAGAATTGAATATGAGAAAATTTATTTAAAGAATGAGATTCAATAATATTATTTATTATTCGAAATGAATTGACTCAAACAATAAGTTGATTTGTTAAAAAATTTATATATGTTTTTGGGATTCATGTTAGAATCTCGTAGCCATTACCGGGGATAACTGTCTAGGTGCACTTAGTTTGATATATTGATACTTTATTCCGGGAGGAGAGAGCTATCCGTTTGATGGACCCGCCTCAAGGGAAAGGTCACCCTTTAGAGGAGAGGGCTATTAGCGAGATGGAGCCGCCTCTGATAAGATATTATGATTTGACCTGAATTGAGAAAAGAGAGGGCTGCCCGTTAGATGGAGTCACCCCTATGGGAAATGCCACCTTAGGAGAGATGGCGATCAACGAGGTGAAACTGCCTTAGACTTTATTCTCTCATGAGTGATCCATACGCTACTAAATTATGACTTTTATTTATTTTATTTTCTTGTTTTGAAAATGACATTTACATTACTTTGTGAATTTTTATCTTTTTTTTTTTTTCGTAAGAACATGTTTTATTGATTTTATTCATATTATTTATTTCAATTATCCTAACATGTTTATAACTCATATGCAAAAAAAAAGAAAATCACTCGTTCATATTAGGTTTCCCCTTCTTGTTCATTGTGATTATTATGCCCTAGCTGAGTCTATGTGACTTACCCACCTTTATTTTTTCCACCCAGATTGTCAGGCAGCTTGATAGTAAGTTGCTAGGAGTCGCAACTTATCTTGTAGCTTTATTTGTATGGTCTTCCCTTGGATAGGTACTCTTTGGTTTTATTTTGGAGCTTTGAGCATTTTGCCACTATGAAAAGTTCGTTAGTGACATCTTTTAGATTATTTTAAGTTTCTAATGTCTGGATTATATATTTTATTGTTGATGTTGTTGGCTGGTGCTGTATACTTTGCATATCAAGGGTTGGATTTGTGTTGAGATGTTTGAAATACAAATGAGACTCTATCAAAAATTTTATAAAATTTGGAATACGAATTTGTGGAAATTTTATTTTATTTTATGGGTTCTTTGTGGTAGATAGGCTTGCCAAACTTCGGGTGTTTGGGCTACCTTAGCCTGTGCACTTGTCATGGCTCATTTTTAGGTCATGACAGACTGTCAGTCACCACTATCCATCAGCCAGCCGCTTCCATTATCATGAGCTACCAACCACCACCATTGTCACCACCTCCTACCACCACTAACCACCTCTGTCGTCAATTAGCTCCCACTAGTCATCGCTAACACTGTCACTCCCGCCTGCCACCATCGCATCTACCACCACCATTTATCTTTTTTTTTTTTTTTACCATCTCTAAATAAGAATTAATGCATAAATAAGTACAAAAATGTTTAAAAATCAATTTTAAAAAATTATATGAAATTTTATTAAAATGATATTTTTTTTTGTATTTATATCATATCTTAACACCATATATTATATTTCATATTGAGTCCTCTTTTCATTTTTTACTCTTATCGAGTCCTCTTATCCTATCAGTTCGTATTATCGTATCCACGAAATATCCAATTACATAAATTTTTATTTTAATTATAAATTTTAAAATTCATATAATTTCGCCCCTTAAAAAAAGAAAAATCCTGACTCATCATTTTGCACCCCAATAATCCAATTCATGAGATGGATAAATAAATTGATAACGTCATCTACTTGTAATTTTTATTTTTGTTAAAAATTTTAGACCACAACGGTCAAAAAGCTGATTGAAAGTGATTATTGCCTCAATAAGGCAAGCCAAATCGCTCAGAACGTTTCCTTTAATTTGGCCTTATGTTGCTTATACTAGATACTACCTAATTACTAGCTCTAATCGGTTGTTATTTTAGGGTCTTTTCCCTCTTTCACAGAAAAAAGAAGAAGAAGATGAAAGCCCTACATAAAGGAGAAGGAATATACATATAGCACAAAACCAATTCCATCTCAATCAATCATTCCCCACTTGCCTACCACGCGCAGTCTGTCTTCCTGAACAGCACGTGTTCTCGTTCTAATACTTCTCATTTTTTTTTATTTTTTATTTTCCTTCATTTCAATTCATCCAGGCTCAAACATAAAAAAAAAAAAAGAAAAAAAAAGAAAGAGGAAGAAACACGGTCATTGTTCTGGGTGTCTCTCACCCTCTGCATTTTTATTGCAAAATTCTGAAAGGGTTAGAGAGAGAAAGATAAGAGAGGTGCGCGCGCACCTTAATTATGACGTGACGTTTTGTGAAATTTTAATCACCAAATGTTCCCATACAACCGGCTACCCAGCAGTGGACACTCCACGCCGCCGTCGCCGCCGTCCTCGCCGCTCCGGTCGCCACGCCTACGCCATGCCCGCTCCAAGGCTGGTCGCTTCTCCCCAGCCCAGCCGCCTTCTCGGAACGTCGCGCAGCGCCTCGCCTGGATCTTTCTCTCCGTCTTGCTCCGCCGCCAGGGCGTGTTCCTCTTCGCGCCTCTCATCTACATCTCCGGCATGCTCCTCTACATGGGAACAGTATCCTTCGACGTCGTTCCCATCATCAAGCACCGTCCCGCGCCCGGCTCCATCTACCGGAGCCCCGAGCTCTTCGCCAAGCTCCGACACGAGATGGACGCCGATGGTTCTTCCGGCGATGCGGTTCGTGTTTTCACTATTTTGTTGCCGAAATCGAATATTGTTGGTTCTTTGATTTCGGTTTATTGTTGAATTTTGAGGATCTCGTGATAGGGATCTCAATATATGCAAAAAATTTAGATTAAGAACCTGGAAGATCAGATAATGCGTTTGTTGTTTGTCTTGCATTTTATGGTTTGGATTTTGGAATGTTCAGAATCAACTCTTTGGTTGTTCTAATATTACTTCGTATTGTTACTACGTTGATATCAATATATAGGGGCTAGTTATTTGTGGAAAAGTGATTTGTGTATTAGCTTCTTTGGTTTGTGTATTAGCTGGCCTGTTATTTGGACATTTAGGGAGTAGAAAGTTTGGCCACGTTGATGTAGAAGCATCTAGCTTCTTTATTTATTTTGGTGATTACAAGGGAGGTCTTAAGATCTGGTGCTTGGACAGGGAAGAGCTGGCTAAGTTTCATACATTGAGACTTACTGGATATCAAACTTAACCCGAGGTGCTTGGTAAGGAAGTTGGGTGTCACTAGGATACAACTATACAAGCCATTGGCAGAAGCATCAAAGTCCTTGATTGCTGTTTACTTATGTGCTTAACTTCTAGTTATTTTTTCCCTGCTTTAAAACGAACCTGCCTTCCCAAGGTATTCGCATAAGATGATAGTAATGATTAACAAAATAAGGAAAAGGGAATTCCCGTTTATGTTTTAGAGTTTGTTAAAATATCATGATGTCTCTTGTCAGAAGTTGAGAATTTATTATACCTTCACTTATTTAAGAAATGTTTCATGTCTGATAGTAAATATTGTTATATATTTGTATATGTAAAATTCTAAGTTGTTCTGGATTATTGGAACTTAAAATAATGGCTTGTATAGTTTTGTTTTCCTATTTTTTTTTTTAATCATCTATATGGGTCATCTTTTGAATCTTTCACACCATGATTCTTGATGTAGAAACCTTCATGCTCTACGTCATGAAGGGGATTCGTCTCATCCAAACACCTTTGGAAAACCAAAATAAAAAAATAAAAAAATTTAGTCTTGTTAATTATTTCCATTTTACTTTACAGATCTTCATACTTTTTACTTCCAGTTTGTTTTTCTGTTAAATTGGATACTTTTAGTGACAAACGCAATTGACTTCCTTTCAGATATCAACAATATGGAAGAGTCCGTCTAAAGGTGGTGGTTGGAAACCATGTGTAGACAGATCTTCAGAAGGTATAATATGATTAGTGTTGATGCACAGTATGATCAGAATTTCCTTTCTCTCTCTTTTCCTTTTACTTATTTGGTCTTTGGAGTCTATTTCTCATTGGAATATTGACTAAGTTTTATGCTTCTGTTGTTAGAGTAATATCTAATGCATAGGTACATCTTGTTGGTGTTACTATTAATAAAATTTAAAATATTCATTCAACTTACTTGTTGCCTGTCATATTAAACTTTAAAATAATACCTTATTTATTTGTCTAGAAAATTTCTTCGTTATCTCTCACAAAATTCACCTGTGTGGATGGAATTAAGGACAGTTTTCCTAATACTTGGGTCAACATCAACTAGATTTATGATTTATCAAAGTCAAAGAAACCATGGAAAGAAAATGAGAGAAAGTGGAAGAGAGAGAGAGAAAGTTTCTGTATTATTCAGAAAATGTTGAACTAAACTAAAAGATTACACATAGGCTCCATATATAGATCTCTAAAGATGACAAAATGCTGAGTCTTCTCAACAGAAACTAAACTAACCTGTAACCAACCTAACTAACAAGAAAAAATGATCTGCTACATGCAGATGCACAGTAGAAAATAAAGTACATCAAAGAACAGTAACAGTAAAGGCTAAGCAATATAGTATATGCCATTACACCCCCTCAAACTCATGGGTTATTGAGGGGCTGAGAGGAGTCAATGACCGAGTTTGGTCCTAAGTTCAGCAAACCTTGGAGCTGATAAAGACTGTGAATGAATCTGCAATTTGGTCTGAAGCTGGAAGCCATCTATTCTTTGGCTATAACCCTCTCACAAACAAAAATGACATCAAACTCCATATGCTTGTTTTGAGCATGCAAAATAGGGTTATGAGATAGAGCCACAGTACTTAGGTTATCTCATAGAATCAGAGGAGTTTGCAGAGGAATCTGAAGCTCACGAAGCAAGGATTGAAGCCTGAAATTTCTGCTGAGGTAATGGCCAGACTTTTGTATTCTGCATCAGTGCTTGAGCGGGCAACCAGGGATTGTTTCTTAGACCTCCATGAAACCAAATTAAGTCCAAGAAAAAGACATGCAGAGTGACAATAATCAGGATCACTAGCCTAATCCGCATCGCAATAGGCTGTGAGAGAAAGAGTTTGATTCACTCTAGCTGACTGTAGCATTAGAACATGAGTAGTAGAACCTCTGAGATATCGTAAAATACATTTAACAATCTTCCAATGGTCTTCTAAAGATTGTGACATAAATTGACACACCAACAACATGGCTTATTTCAGGTCTAGTAAGTGGCATATCATAATGCTCTGATACCATGTCATGCAAGAAGCTCTCCCAAAAGCTTAAGCTGCTAGAGGAGGCACGCAAATGATTTTATTATATCTCTTAACACGCCCCCTCATGCGAGACCTTTTTTTTTGGATTGGATAATGCAAAGGCCCATTCTTTATTTTTGGTTCCCTTGTGTTTAAATCAACTTTTTTTTTATTTGATAAATGGGGGCGTATAGGCTCTAATTCCATAATCGAAGTGGAGAAGAGAGAGAGAGAGAGAGAGAGTTTCTGTATTATTCAGAAAATGTTGAACTAAACTAAAAGATTACACAAAGGCTCTATATAGAGCTCTAAGGATGACACAATGCTGAGTCATCTCAACAGAAACTAAACTAACTTGTAACCAACCTAACTGAGCTAACTAACAAGAGAAAATAATCGGCTACATGCAGATGCACAGTAGAAAATAAAGCTCATCAGCGAACAGCAACAGTAAAGGCTAAGGCAATATAGTATATGATAATATGATTTAAATACTAAAAATGAAGTAAATAGAAGATTAATGTTTATTTTATGCCTGTTATATCCTAGTTGCTTAGTTGTTCCTCATATCAGAGGGGTGATCTCTCCTTGATTCAAGTGCAAGGGATATTGTAGGATATGACATGTTATATGGCAACGATTTTGCATTAGATTTTTGTGAGTACGTGATTGTGTGGTTTGTTTTCAAGTTAAATCACCCAAGTTCTTATTACTCAAGCTAGGAAAAGATTAGCAGCATATTGTCAAACATTCTGACAAAGTGGGCTGTTTTTATTGCATTACCTGGGAAATTATGTTTGTATCTTCTGCCAATAGACTGTTTAACTTATGTTTTTAACAGGTCTTCCTGAATCAAATGGATACATTTATGTAGAGGCTAATGGTGGCTTAAATCAGCAAAGGACATCGGTTAGAGTTTTGTGTATATTCCTTTTTGTTTGTCTTAAGTGTGCTTAATATAGCACTACTCACGACTTATTTATTTAATGAATGACGTGCTTCACAGGTATGCAATGCTGTTGCTGTGGCAGGCTATCTCAATGCTACACTTGTGATACCAAATTTCCATTATCATAGCATATGGAAAGATCCTAGGTTTGTATGTTTTCCCATCTTTTAATTTTAGTGGTTTTCAGGACCTAGTGCTTTATGTTGGCATAGTATTAACTAGGTAGTGTTTGTTACTCAGCCTTTTCTTTTAATTTTAGTGATAAAAATTATTTATAACAACATAGTCCTTGACTGTCTATTTTATTTAAAGGAAAAAGGCATCTTGACACCTGTGTCATTGTGTGCCAATCTGTATTTGTTTTAATAATACAAATGAAAAGAATTTTTAAAATTTTAAATAACTATTTGGTCTTCAATCAGTTTAGCTTCCCTTTTTTTTTTAGGAAAAAAGAAAGATGAGAATAACTACTCCACTAACTATAACTTCCTGTATTTTAGAAAAGCTTGCATGGTGGGAAGATGGTAAAAACGTGTTTCATTATGTCTAGGTTCAGTGCATCATGTAAATGTTGTAATTAGGAAAGTTTGTATATTTGTATTTATTATATTCATTTTATAAGAATCAAGTCCTTGGTATAGTTAAGACATACAGTTCTCAGCATTTGCTTCTCTTTTCTCTCTCAACATGGTATCCAAAGCTTAAAGAGAGGCAATTCAAAACCGGGCATGCCTGCCGAACGCACTGTCCATTTTCTTTTTTCTCCTGGGCCGACTATAATTTGACTCCAGTTTGCCAGCCTTACTCTGCCATGCCACTTTCCGGCAGAGAACCTCTATGTTGACCATTGTCTGCCACCGTTCATCACTATTCTGCCAACCATTCTGGCTGGCGAACCCATCATCAAACTTGCTTCCATCTACTCAGTCATCCACCAGAAAAATTGCACATTTGCACATTCCTACTAAAATTTGGCTCCATTACTTAACTAAAACTGTTAAAGTTAATCATAGAAAATTGGTCCAATGACGTAGGGTGTACCCAACATGTTACCAAAAATTTGAAACAATGAATTCTATAACGAAACAACTCCATAATCGAAATATTATCATAAAATTTATTATAGGACATTCCTTTACTCCCTTTCCCACTGTCGAATACTATTCTTGGTTAAGCTGTTGTGTTAGATGGAATATTTTGTATATATTAGTTCTTATCGGAAGTAGTTAATCTCTCCATTTCATGGCGCTATAAGCTGGTGCGGCATGTGTTGACCACAGGCTGCTAGCACAGCTTAGTCATGGAACACTTTTGTGTCATGCCCGTGGCTCATTTTGCGGCTGTCAACGCTGCTACAGGAAACATGGGAGCTATCTGAAACATTTTCCTGCCAGGTCTACCCTTTTTGCTGCCACATCCTGGCCCTTTTTCTGGCAGTCGCATCCTCTGTTCACACCTTCTTGTTTGACAAGAAACGAAAATGTGGACTTTTTGCACAGCTCTGCAATTTTCATAAGTGATGACGTGAACCTTTTTTTCTTTCTATCTTTCAAAGATTTGATAAGGCATCACTGCCCTTTTATTGGAAATTGACTTCATTGTTATTTTTCTGTTTATATATTTTATAAATAGTCTTTATTTTCTATTTGGTTATGCTTTTACTTGTCTGACTTTTTTTTTGGGCATAAGTAGATGGGTTCAGCTACCAAAACTTGTTAGATTAGTGTTATTTCACTTATTTGTAACTTGTTAGACCATTATTATTTGCTACTTGCCATTAATTTAGCAAGTTCTCGGCTTCTGTTATTCTGTTTTTGGTCATGCCTCCTTTCATGTGTATCTTTGCTCTGTTTTAGTACTGATGATTGTGCCTTTAAGCTATGAATTTTGATTGATGAAACAAATTTTGAGTATTTATATGTGTATCTATCCACTATTTTAAGTGTAGCAGCCACTTAGCAATCCGCTATAGCATTTTTGGGATTGGCTGCACTGCACCATGATTTGGGATTAACTACTATGGTTCTTATAAAATTACACTTTTGTAGTGACTAACGGGTTTGTTGGTAGTTATATCAATGTTGATCAAGGTGTTTCATGTTCAAGAGACTAAATTGTTTCATAATGTTTCAACTTTCCAGCAAATTCGGTGACATTTATGATGAAGAATATTTTGTGAATACCTTGAAAAATTATGTACGGGTGGTTGACAAGATTCCTGATTACCTGATGGAAAGATTTGGAAGCAACATGACAAACGTTTACAATTTTAGGATCAAGGCATGGTCATCCATTCAGTATTACAGAGATGTGGTACTCCCAAAGTTACTTGAAGAAAAGTGAGTGTATGATATTCGTTGTATGAGTCTATTACTTATTGTCATTGATCTCTGATAGTTAAACACAATTGATACTTGTCCATGGTATTTGGAAGAAGGAATACAAAACGTTGTGGTGTTGTGGCCTTTTTGCTGTAGTATTGTGGATTTTACTCTAGTGAAATGCTATGTTTTTTAGCTATTATTATTATTTTTTTCTGATAAGAGAAGAAATTTATTAAGACAGAGAGGAGGAGAATACAAAGGGAAAGGAGGATAAGAAATCCTCCTTAAAATAGAAGAAAAGAAAAATCAAACAAGAAGGAACAAAAGACATTGATGTAGCAATGTTGCCCAATCACTCATCAAATCTGAGTGGGACACCCCTTTTAGAAAACCATGTGCTTTACTCTATATGAAAGGAAAACGCCTAATCTTATCCCACAGCAGCTACTTATCTTAGGAGATATCCGAAAAAAAATATAGTTAACTCCATCCAAATGCACCAAAGTGTAGCAAATATTGAACATTACCACAAAAACATTGCCTAATTTTGACAGTCCCAGCTTGTGCATCAAAGCATTTTGATATACACAGAGATTCTGCTAATTATGAAATATGAATTGATAGTCATTTTATTAGTTTGTTATTCTACTATTCATTTATTGTCAATACATGTGCAATTCAGACCTGTATGTGTTTGCTTTTCAGATTGAGTTTTTATGAAATGTTGCTGGGTGATCTCATATCATGGTTATAATTTGGCAAGAGGAAAACTATTATGTTTGCTGTATTAGCTTACATATTTGTCTATTCAATCTTGCAGGGTTATAAGGATTTCACCTTTTGCAAATAGATTGTCATTTGATGCTCCTCCAGTCGTCCAGCATCTCAGATGCTTAGCAAATTATGAGGCTTTACGATTTTCAAGTCCTTTATTGACCACGGGTGAATCTTTGGTTGCAAGAATGAGGAAACTTAGTGCAATGAATGGCGGCAAATATGTCTCCGTGCATCTACGTTTTGAAGAGGTTGGTTTAAGTCAGATATAAATGTTGCTTTAAAGTATGAACGGTGACATTACATATTGATATTTGCTGCAACTTTTTTCACTTGCTTTCCCATGCGCAGGATATGGTTGCTTTCTCTTGTTGTGTTTTTGATGGTGGAAAACAGGAGAAAGAAGACATGGTTGCAGCAAGAGAAAGAGGTTGGAAAGGGAAATTTACAAAACCTGGACGAGTTATACGTCCTGGAGCAATCAGACTCAATGGGAAGTGTCCCCTCACTCCATTAGAGGTATTATCTCCGTAAATGTCCAGTTATCTTGATCTGTAAGAAGAGCAAGACAATTAAAGGGAATAACTTTTCTAAGTTGTTAGTCCTTCCTCCATATCTTCAGGTTGGCCTTATGCTGAGGGGAATGGGTTTCACAAAGAACACATCTATCTATTTGGCATCTGGAAAAATATATAATGCTGAGAAAACAATGGTCCCGTTACTGGAGATGTTTCCTAATTTGCATACTAAGGAGACTCTAGCTTCTGAACAGGAACTTGCTCCATTTAAGGTATATATTTGTACTCTACCCTACCCATCCACTGTAGGATTAAGTGCTATGATTTTGACTTAAGTTACTTTTAGAATTATTCTTCCAGGATGGCTGCTATAGACTACACTGTTTGTCTTCAGAGTGAGGTGTTCGTCACAACTCAGGGTGGTAACTTCCCTCATTTTCTACTGGGCCACAGAAGATATTTGTATGGTGGACACTCTAAGACAATTAGGCCTGACAAGAGAAAGTTGGCAGTACTCTTTGATAGTCCCAATATTGGGTATGTATTGTTACTTCGGTATATATTTCCTCCTGTTCGATTTTGCTATGAAAATTAGACATGAATACACTAGAAGACAAATACCCTGACCTTTTTTTCCTGGTCGAAAGTGATAGGGAAGTAAATATATTTGAAGATTCATGATAAGTAATACAATTGGGAGTTTGTTTCATAACAAGTTCATGTTTGAAGAAGATATGATTGTTATTGTTACTGTTAATAGGAAGGTTATATTTACAATCTCTTATAATTATTTTTCGTTGGATCAAAAACAAATCAATGGTTATGAAATAATATCGAATGAGAGCTGTTAACATGATTCTGATTTAATGGTAACAAAGTGGTTGTACGAGATTATAAAGAAAAAAAAAAGTTATAAGTATAACCTATCTCTATAGTAATAATAATAATAATAATAAACACTCATTGAGCGGGAAGAAATTCACTTGGAATCTCTTGTGTAAATGGGGCTAGTAAGAAACTATGCCAGCCTTGGCCACCAACAGATATCTTATAGAAAATTAGAGCTACATTGCAACTCTTGCATTTCAAACTATGCACAAACTGTACCTCTGACTCCATTTGAGTTCGGAGGAAAGAGTTAAGTCGGGGCATCTAAATTGAGATAGAGCCACTTGTACTCAGTTGTGAATGCAGTACATAGCATTCCTCCTTTTATAGAAGATGTTCCTTTTTTTAGTACTTTACAAATAGAATTTTATCTTATTAGTAGAAAGTATCTTAACTCCTTGTACTTGATTACTTTGCAGATGGAAAGGTCTCAAGCGTCAATTGCTGAGCATGAGGTCTCATAGTGATTTCAAGGGAGTTGAGCTCAAAAGACCAAATGACTCAATATATAGCTTTCCATGTCCAGATTGTATGTGCCATGCAAATAGAACTGATGATTCAAGATCTTCAGCAACTTGATCTACTGACAGAATTTTATGGGTGTTTCTGTTTCCTATGATTTTATGAGCATACCTTGCTGCTGACTGCCTTTTACCGGTATTGTGATTATTTCATTTTTTCCCCTTTCCATCTGGTGAGAGGGCATTAAACCCAATTCTCGGAGGTTAACAAGCTTTTGTTGGAGGTCTCATAGATCTGATTATTTCCTGTGATTGGATTTCAAGGGAGTGGCATCTTTTTTGCACATGATGCCAGTTGAGGAGAGTCAAAATTGGTCAATTGCAGGACTCTCCCAGAACATTGACTCAGCTTTGTTTAATATTGAATTAGCTGCTGCTTTGTCTAACAAGCTATGAAAAGACGACCTCACATTTCTTCACACCCTGCTTGTACATTACCTGGAGAATGATCTCCGGGTGTTAAGGCTGTAGCATCTGATTGTTCTGTGTACATTAACAAAATTCAGCTTATGTTGAAGTTTTGTATTTTCTTTGTTCCTGTTATAAATTTTCTTTTTGTTTGCCCTCATATTGAGGGCCCCATTGTTAATTTGTATGTCTGTATCTGAGTACATTTGTTATTCTTTTACATTGGTACCCCATTGTTTTAGTGATGATACCAGTGAATGTAATTAGTTGACCACTAGTGACTTGCAATTGCAAAAGGCTCAAAAGATGTTATCTTTGGATTTCCAGGTTGATTTGTGTTTTTCATGGAAATAATTTTGTCTCTACATAAAAGTGTATGAGGTCCATATTTTCTTTTTTTTTTCTCCTCTTCACGAATCACATGGTTCCATGAGTTTCACATACTTTTATGTATATTTAGGAGATAATTTTCTCTTTTTCAACATAAGAAACATTAATTTCATATATATATATATATATATATATATATATATATATATATATATGGGTATTATAGTTCTCCGGAAGCATCACTTCTCCTGTTGCAAGCACAATTTTTTTTGTGGGGGCCATTTATAGTTTAAAAAAATCTCGTTGTGTCTCTGCAGGAAGGGGGTGAGTTCTCCGGTAAAATGAGAAACTCAACCCCCTATATATATATATATATATATATATAGGGTTTGTTTTTGTGTGATGAATGCAGATTAGTTATCTCTATTGAATCAAAAATGACATCGTTTTGGGATGAAAATCAAGATCTTTGTGTAATTATTATTTATTCTTGGATTATAATAGTCTTTATCATTATAATTTTTTAATCTTTCAATCCAGAACGACGTCATTTTGGAAGTGAATGTAGATAACTTATCTGCATTCATCGTAGAAATATTAAAGCTATATATATATATATATATATATATATATATATATATATATAGTTTAATGTTTTTGTGTTTGCTATAATTTTTTTTTTCTGCCACACTCATGTAAAAGTGAATGTGTTCCACTAACATTTTCTTACTTTTCTTTACAATGGGATCCATTCACTTTTATGTGAGTAACAAAAAACCTTTTTATGTAGCAAAAGCAGATTTTTTTTTTCCGTATATATATATGGGGCAAAATCTTCTTACACCGGTGTAAGAATAATAAGTTTTACTTCAAATCTTAACAGTTGATTTTCGTGCATTTAATAGTTGTAATTAATTGATAATTAATAAGTGTTATTTAATAAATTACAACTGTTAGATGCACGAAAATCAACGGTCAATATTTTATATCAAACTTTTTAGTTTGACACCAGTGTTAAAAGATCATCTCTCTCTATATATATATAAATATAAATATAAATATATATTTATATGTATATGGGGTATGATCCTTTGAAACGAGTCTGTCACGTAAAACGCTTTACTGGTGCCACATAAAATGTTGCACAATGCAGCGACTTAGAGTTTGCCACGTAATCTCACTTCACTGTGCAGAGATATTACGTGGCTTTAAACTTGCTGACACGACGTCACGTAATCTCGTGACGTGACATTTTGACAATTTTTTTTCTAGTGTAACAATTCGATAAATTTTTGTCAAAAAAGTGGCAAAATAGTCTTGTCCCTACAAATCATGATCTTAGAATATATCCTTAAGTGAACAATATATATCATAAATATATTATATTATTAAACAAAATTAAAAGGCTAGCTTCTAGGTTTTTAGACTAAACTTTTTAAAGTGGGTCTATATACTAATTTTTAAATGAAATTTTCTGAAAGCGTAAACATGCTCTATTTAAAAAATAGAGTATGGAAGTTGAGGCCTAAGATAGGTCAGGCTGTAAGCCCTTACTCTCCTAGTTGCAGAGCTTGTTTACATGTTTACAAAACCTTTGTAGCATTTTATTTCCAAGCTGGGGATGTATGATATACATGGCTCAGCTTGTGGGAGTATTGGAGAATAAAACTCATCTTTCCACGTCATCAGCATTCACATCAGACGTGGATAGTGCCCTAACAAATTTGCATCAAACTAACTGCTTTTAGATACTTATCAGTTTTCTGTTGTAACTTTCGTTCACTGCTTAATGTGATCGCTGGTTGAGCAAAAGCTCTATAAATGTAATGTTTTGTAATCGATTGATTGAATTCAGATACCAGATTTTATGAGAAACACCGCAAGAGTTGATAACCACGTAAATACTAGTTCTGTTTTTTTTGGGATCAGTTCTCCTTTTTTATTTTTTATTTTTTTATTTTTTTGGTATGACGATATTTCAATCAAAATCGGATTATTAATTAAATAAAAGGTACACGCTAGTCATTCTTATTTTTTTCCTTTTTTTTTTTTTCTCTTTCCTCTACTGCTTTTGCTTGTAACTAGAGCCATAGACATTAAATCTTAAATAGCTTTTCATTTGATTAGTTTTTGTTTATAATGATGATTCGGAAATTAGTCAACTATATGTACATCACCAAATATCATCATATCATATATTTCAAATCTTCAGAAAATCAAATCATATTTAATGAAAAATTCAAGAGCCTCCATAGAAACAATATCCCAACATACAAGTTCAGATACAAATTATAATTAAAGAAGTTTTATAACTGCATGTTCATCAAACAAGATAATTTGCCAGTTTTTTGCAGCACAAATCCCTTTCTCCAATGAATTTAACTAATGACAATACAACTAGAATTGGAGAAGGTAAAAAATAATGGGGAACCTAGTTTGGATTGAACTTATTTACAACACAAACCTAATCCAAGAGGATAATGTACTACTTCATAATCTTAACTATTACTGATTATAAGGTAAAGTCGGCAAGTTATGTTGATAATATTCTTCGCTCAGCAGAATGCATGCTTTCCAGCTTTCGAATAGAGTATGCACACCTACTCAAGAAGCTTATTGCAGGTGCCTACACCAACAGCAGCAGCAAGATGCCATGCAGCATGAAGGTATGGAGTTTGAGGAAATAAATCATCGGCAATAAAAAGCATACCACCCATTAATGTCGACATCTTATGCACTGTGTGAGCCATCCTCAAGTCTGGATCTTTCAATGCCCTTTTAGCAAATGCTACCTGAAAAAACAATTTTTTTTCTTAAAGGAGAAAAGCTTAACTATAAACAAGTTTGCTTTTATTTACTGACAAGATCTTTCTACTACGTTCTCGCAGGAATAATATTTGAAGGGTGACTATAATATATCACAAGCACATAACCTCCGGTTATTTACATATATACACTTCAAGACTAGACAAGAGCCGCGTTTGTGTGTAAAAAAGCACTGGGCACCAACACTTTGTATGCGACCTTGAAGCCTCTAAAGAGTAAACTCTCAAGACTAAAAGGCACTATAACACATTAGACTTCTTATGCCTAAACATGTTTAAAACATACTAGACATATAGTAGATATACTTTCATATACTACAGTAGACATATAGCATCAACATTGTCGCACGTTAGACCTAAGCATGACCGATTTGAAAAAAGAAAAAGAAAAATGTCAAATCAAACGGATCACATCTTGAGATTGGACTGCTCATTCATAGTCTGACTAAAGCTGCTGAAGATACTGAATATTTGGAAACAATAACCCACTTCTTAATAAGTTTTGGGCTTTACTACTTTCATTGTAAAATACATTCTAAGATAATGGGTATATCTAAAAAATTAGAACAAATATAGAAAAGCATAAATTCTATTTCAACAGTAATTAAAAAACAATCACAGACTTAGTTTTGGAGAAAAAAAAGCCTTAAAAATATAAAAGTGAAATGCTTTTAAAGAATTGGAGTTGGCTTAGCACAAGCAAGATAGGAGTCATCTTAAATATAAAATGTAATTCAAACTCTCTTCTATTATCCAATAAAATTTCAAAACCTCTATCACCATGTTTGGAAAAATGGTAATGTAACTTCAAATACAAGAAAGCTAAAACTTCAAAAATCAGTTTGAAGTCAGGATATTTAAGGAAGTTGCATGACATTAGTTATATCTAATAACCAAACCCATTACAAATATTATATTAGCAAAAAATAAACATTTTGACTTCTCATACCCTTAAATATTTGGTCACTTGATTCACACTAATAAACCTTTGCAATTATTTCTCTTCAATTCAACAAAAGATAACTAAACTTCCGAGCATCTGCTCGAGGAGCACAAGGCACAATAATGCTTAAAGGGGAAGCCTGGATGCATATGGTTCCCCAACTTTGCGAGGATAGAAGTGAAAGTCAATCGAATGCAGCCTTATCCTTGCATTTTTGCAAAGAGACTATTTCGCAAACTCGAATATATGAGCTTTCGTTCATAAAAGAGCAGCCTTACTCTTGCTCCAAGGCTTGCCCTCAAATGCACAATTAGTCTTAACTTTCAATAATGATATGTTTAGAATTTGCTACTGAAATAAAGTATTATAATTAAAAATATTTCCATCATGAAAAGCTCCTCTACACTTTGGAGTAACATGGGTGACTAAGTAGGGTGTCCTGGCATTCAAGTGACTCAAAAACATTCGAGCTTCAGTAAACAACAGTGTTTGGACCTGATTTTGTTTTATGGTTAAGTCCATGTAAGTCCAGGAGGAAAAAAAAAGTTATAGGCCAAAATTATCATTAATTATCCTATAAAATAGGATCTTTCCCTATAGCTTCATTGCTAGCTTTGGCTGATCTTCTTATTAATTCAATGACTAAAACCAAAGGATGAGGTGATAATAAAACTCAACCACAACAAAAGCCAAATTGTGAAACTGACTCTAATTTGTTTCACAGTTGAACTTGTCATGTTTCATTATGTATATCTTGATAATGTTTGTAATACATTATGGTCTCAGAATCAATGAATCAACAAATCAACTAAGGTCAGTGGTCTTGTTAATCACTAACTTGGTCAGCATGCTTTTCTGGAACAACACAATAATCTATTACAGAGATGAACACTAAATTTTCATAAATAAATAGTAAAAAACAAGTTACCTCCATCATCCCAGTGTGAATAACTGAAACCATCAAAGGATTAACTGGAAGAAATGCTGCAGATGCTGCCATCAGTAACTTTGGGTTCTCACTTCTGAGGGCCCTTGACAGACACTGCAGAATGATTTTATATTCAAAGATGATTTACTCATGGAAGAACCTAAAGCAATATCAACCAAGGCAATAAGGAAAAATGCAAAACTCAAAATACAGGGAAAACATTTTAGATTGTCTCATGCGTATACACACACTGGACTTAGACAATGTTAGTCTCGAACTCTCGTTAGTTCTAGGAGGGGAGAGTTGCAATCGGAGGAAAATGCAGGCAGGCTAAAATTCAATAATAATATTTATAAAAATAAAATTAAGAAATGATTTCATGGGCAGTCAATTATATGAAATTAAATTTTGAAAGACTAAAGGTAGAAGTTAGAACCATTGAATTTATTTAAAAATTAACAAGGCATCTTCTGGATAAAATTGTTTAAACCACATAAAGACACAGTATGTAGACTAGTATTCACCAATCAGTCAACACTAAATGAAATGTATCAAAACAGATCAAAATTTAGCACATGGATTCATGTCTATTTCAGCTGTGAAAACAAAATTGCTATATTTTCAGTGGTAAGCAAGAAACAACTTATTGGTGGTAAAATAAATAAAGGTCAATCTTTTCTGTTTCAGTTCATCTAAACCAATTTAGCTTTTCCCAAATGCAAAGTGCAATACATGGATAGAACATGTCTGAATACACAAGTGATGAGTCTTCAATATTTCTTTGTAAAACTTAAGCAGCTCAACACGGAAAACAAATATATTTAGGGAAAAGAGGAGTTAAAAAAACAAGGCAGAACCAATAAGACCTTAGTTAAAACACTGAAAATTGGTGATTAAGAATATCGCAGAATGATAGTCAGACCTCTCACTCAGCATTGTTATCGATATAAAAGAAATACAAACATGTTGTAATCTTTAGAAACCACCAACTGTAGATCTGCTCTCTACAAAAAACTAGATATAAGAACTCAATCAATATGCTAGAAGCACAATTATTGGCAACAAGATTAGCTTTAAATATTGTAAAAAATATACAAGAAACTTGTCCACTGAAACAAAACTTAAGGAAAAGGATATTTTAAAATTGAGTCGATGCGTTAATGATCACAACATAACTGAAGAGAAAATTCAAACTCAGTTCTTGTAACCAAGATCCAATAGATTGACTATAGTGACACACTTTCAGTAACATGGTTTATACCATATTGACAAATGCTTCCAAGTCCAGAATATAGCACATATAGCTAGGTTTTTGCATGTTATTGAATAGCCTATAATTATATCTATCTATGAATGTGTCACTTACCACAGATGTTGTGGCTATCATTGCATAGTCAACCCATCTCAAAAATTTCCTCAACTTCCCTCTCGAAGAATGGTACATGCTTGAGGCCACTCCAACTCCAATTAATGAATTAGCATACAACTTCGAACTGAGATTCTTCCTACATTACACAATTATTCATAAGACAACAATGATGTTTTTCTAGTAAAAAAAGAGAGCCTGTGTTTAGTAACAGATTAAATCTGGGAAATAATTGCTTTTTTTTATCAAAAGCTCTCTCAGGACGCAGCTAGGAAAAAAAGAGATTATTTTCCCAAAAATAAGCTAATCCAAACACGAAGAGAATTTAATATGCTTTGAGCAACATATTACCTGGGGGCATGTAATCCAAGAGCTATAAAAGGAATTGAAGTAAGCACATTAGCAACTGTTTCAGCAACATGCTGATCACCTGATAAGGAGATGTAGTAATATATCAATTATTTATGTGAGATTGGATTAATTGCAGGGAAACAATAATGTAACATCAAATTGAAAGGAAAAATTTCAATAGTACCATGACAACTAGTACAATGGATGGATCTCAAGCATGCTGGTCTTTGTTGCCATACTCGTCTGAAGAACATGTATTTAGTAGGTTATTGTGCATGGCTTTTTTAATTTTCAATTCCTTTTACTATCACCAAAAATTACAATCAATTAAAAATTTCTGATGGATATATATTTCACTCACTGCATTAACAGCAGCCGATTTTCTTCGGTAGTTGAAGTTCTACATGTTGATGGGTGAAGGTCCCCACTTTGATTAGTTTCTGTCAGAGCAAATGGTGAATGAGGAGCCAGATGGACCCCATGGACACCCTCAAGGGCTCTACTGCGATTCAGTGAACTCTTTTGACTCATGTGCTTGCCCACCCGAAATGAAGGTCAACTTGAGTACCAGCAAGAAACTGCTGGCACCAGTTGGATGGAGAGTGCTGTGTGCTAGCCAGTAATGCTGCAATAAAAATAAAGTATTAGTATATGTACCCTTAACATCAATTTTTTTTTAAACATACAAGCATGAAAAACAGCTAAAGATGGTGATTGTATAACAAAGTATATAAGAGTTTAACTCAGATGAACCTTCCCGTATTTGTTGAAATCAATTTTCATTTCGTTGGCCCCGAAACAACCATAGGCTAACAAATGGTGTACATATCAAATAATTCCCCATGATCAAAATTAGGTTCACTTCCATCTTAAAAAAAAAAATGTCATGACTTATTTTGAATATATATATATATAGGGATATGTTATTTTACCTATATTTTTTTCATGCCTATCTTACTTACCATTCTCGAGCACCGTTAGATAAGAATCTTAAAGGAAGCGAAATGATAAAGGTTAGCTAAGATTCTGATCTAACTGTGTTGAAAAGTGACAGGTAAAGTAGGCATGAAAAAAGATAGGTAGAATAACGTATACTATATATATATATATATATACACACATGCAACATGAAATGAATATCCCTGATTTTCAATTCAAATTCATCCATATGAATTTATAATTCAGCCAACTAAAATGTGATTTTCAATTCAAATTCGTCCATATGAATTTATAATTCAGCCACCTAAAATGTGATCCCTTCCCACATCATCTCTCTCCAGATTGTCACAATAATAATAGTAAAACTAAATAAAATCCCCAGGTAGGCATGGATCATAGGTCGCTACTATATGTGACACCTAGCTTATTTAGTTCACAATTCCAAACCCAAAATTTCCCTTTCAACGAACTCCAACAACAATAAAACCATAAAAGTGACTTCAACTAACAATCAGAAAAAAAAAAAAAAAAGACAATTAACAACAAAAACAACATCATTGTGTTCATGCGTGAGTAGAGAGAGAGAGAGAGAGAGAGAGAGAGAGAACCTGAGGGAAAAAGCTGAGAAGAAAATAGCAATGCAGGAATATGTATATATAGGAGAAGAATGAGTAAGGAAGATATGAAAGTAGATGTTGATTTTCAGTTGATAAAAGGACGAAGCCTTTTGAAAATTGAGAGAGGAAACAGAAAAAAACAGAAAAGGGAACAGAATAAGAGAGAAGAAGATGCTCTTTACTCAAGAATCTTCCTCTTTCCCTCCACGCATATTCGCATCATTGCTCGCATCGCACACACAACTTACAAACACGGAAAAACACCCACTTCCTTTAAAATTTTTATTATCCATAATTGGGCTTTTGGGGTTTCATTTCAACACAACTAAATGGGGCTATTATATGACTTGGCTTTCTCATTCTTCTGACTACAAGTCAAATAGTTACGCAATATTACTTGGCTATTTCTTAATTTTAGGGCCATTTTTTCAGGTTCCTTTTCTTTTTTTAAGGGTTGAGGTAGTGCGATTGGTCAAACACTTGTGTTTTTTATTATTATTATATTTAATAAATTTATAAACTTTTATTGGAAAATCAATAATTTATAAATAGTTGACATTTTTTTATTTTTATAGAGAGATGAGATATTGTAAGAAATAATTAGAGCTTATTATCGATTAATTTCATTGTTAGATTGATTATATTGATCCAACGGTTATATTTATTTTCATGTTATGATTTTCTATTTTTAATAAGAGTTTGGTGTTTGTCATTTTAAATGATATAAGTTATGTCATTTTAGGAGAGAGATAAACACAGAAAAATAGAAATAATGGGAGAGAGAAAGTGAGTGATTTTTTTAATTTAAAATTTAAATAATTTTTTTTCTGTGTCTGTCTCTCTCTTACAAGAACAGAGTATTATGTCATTTAAAATGACAAATACTTTTTCCTTTTATAATAAGAGATTTATTAATCTCATGTTACATGAGAGTATTATCTTATGTAGGTGATACAAATATGTGGGGTCCATAATTTAAAAAAAAAAATTGGCACAAAATTCTATGAGTGTATGATATGAGATAAATATCTTATGTAACATGAGACTATCATTTCCCTTATAATAATTACACGTAAAGTTTAAAATGTTAAAATGGAGATTTCCAAATGCAATGACTCCGTAAAGTTTCTTAAACTACTATTCAATTATGTACTGTTGCCTTATTGAATTTATTTATTTTTAGAATAATTAATTTAAAACTTACTATTTTTAATAATATAATAATACATTATTGAATAATAATATAAAAACTATATTAAAAATACGTAAGAATTAAATTGGAAAAAAAAATTCCATGGACATTTTGAAATGTTGGGCGGTTTCTATCCTACACCTTGGTAGGATTCATCTTGTAAGTGTAGATTCAATTAAAAGTGAAATTTATGGGTCTTTGATGGATGGGATATGATAAGCAGAGATAGGTTAATAGAGTTGGATTGAGTAAAAAAAAATAAGAAAATATCTTAAAAATGGATCTTCCCATATTAAAAAAGGGCTTATCGTTTCTCAAACCGTCGAAGATAACTTTATTTTCGGCTACTAAATTATAACCGTACAAAGATGGATCAATGGTGATAAAAGAAGAGAGAGAAAAAAAAAATCATAATCATTTAAAGGTGAATCAATTAATATAAGAAAATAAATAAATAAAACGACATAGTTTTGAGATGATCAAAGATAAACTTATCTCAAGTTGCCGGAGAAATGTTTTTTCCTTAAAAAATATATGATATGGTCATGTGAACAAATCAGAACGGTAAAAAGGTGAATCAACGGTTATAATTTTGTAACTATCTATTTTAATATCTTCTTTTACGTCATTTATCATCATTTATCCACTTTTGTATGTTTATGATTCTACACATGAACATGTCATATTTTTATTAACATAAGAGGATCCAAATCAAAATATCTTATTCTCTATTTGTTGTGCAATAAATAAACATGGCCCGATATGATTATATTATATTATTTTATGTTTGAAATAAATTAGATAGTGTTAGAATATGATATAAATTGACAAAAATATTGTTTATGATGTAATTTTATATAATTTTTTTTAATTTTTTTCTTTTGATTTATTTATAGGAAGCTCCTAATTTAATTTTTTTAAAATAAATTATAATTTTAAATAAAATATATAAAAACATATAAACTAACTTCTAAAATTTTCCAAAAATAAAATAAAAAAATAAATTTTAAACTAATTGTCAATTTTTATGTACATAAATAAAATTGATTTCAATAATATTAATAAAAATAATAATTCACAATATTTATATATAGTTAAAGATTTGTTGTTTAGTGAAAGTTAATAATTTTTTTTTTCAAACATAAATGTCATGGACTCATGGTGGGCGGTGACTAGCGAGTGGCTGATGGCAATGTTTGGTGGTGATGGTGGCTAGGCGATGTTGGTAATGGCTTATGGCTAGCCGGTGCCAGCAGTGGCTAGGCAATAACGATGGTGGTAGTAGGGTTGGCAAAACTGGTCATCCCAGTCCAACCCGTTTGCGGCCCGAAAAAACGAGCCGGGTTAGGGTTGGCTCGAAAAAAAAATGAGCTAGAAAATTCAATCCAACCCAACCAGAGTCGAGTTAGGATTGACTCGCAGGTTGGCTTAAAAATGACTCACATGAGTTGGCTTGTAGGTTGGTAGAAAAAAGGGTTTTCAAAATTGGGGGTTTGAGTAGCACATCAGCATGCTGCAAAAACCAGAACATCTTAACTACTCAAGCAGATCAACAACAAGAAGTGAATGAAAACCAAGACTTGAAGATAAGTATGGTACCCACATGCGACAAAACTAACAACAAAAAACAAACAAAAATAGAAGATAAGTATGGTACCCACATGCTTCAAAATTGACTCGATTTTTTTCGAGCTGGCTCGGGTCAGGCTGAATCGAGTTGTCAGCCAGCTTATTTTTTGCGAGTTACGAAACAGCCCGACGGGTTAGCTCATTTTTGCAATCCCTAAGTAGTAGTAGCAGTGACATTGTCAATGTCTAATGGTCGATGGCCCATGGCGCTAGGATGAATCTTACGTTCTTAGGATAGCTTACGAGGCTATGGACCACATAAAATGAGATAACATGATAAACTTATCATATCTTGTTTGTTCACCGAATAATAATAAGAATGGAATATGATAATTTATTCTATTTGATCTCCTTTATTCTGTACGGACTCAAAAAATCTTTTAAACCACAAACCCAAACATGTTTACGTGGATTTATGAGTAAAAAAGGTTGCTATTTAATTTGTACAACTCAAAAAATAATAGTTGTAAATTAAGTAAAACCAATAAAAACACAACTTCGTTTTTGACATAATTAACATTATGCCAATTTTGATACTTTCGTAATTTAATATTATTAATTTTGTTTCAATAATTGACATGAATCATGAGAAATGTTAGTGTATATATATATGGTAATTCACGACCAAACAGAGCCGCAGAAAATAGAACCAAACCGCAACTAATAAACAACATTTCAGAGCAACTATAAATACCAATCATCGAATGGAAAACAGTATTTATGGATGCAATCCATAATGACGTAGGTCTAATCTAAAGCCATGAGTCCATAAACACAATGGTTATTTATATTCTGGTAGTTCCCATTTGAACTTCTAGTGAAAGGAGGTTCAAAATAACAAAGTATCACAAATTAAGAAACCTTATTATTATGCAATGATCAAGATATATTAACTTAATTCGTACTTTGCTTATAGTCATCCCGTAGTAAATCCAACATAATTTCAATTTTTCATTTAATCACATAATAAGAATCGGCAAAATGGATTTGATCTGACGGGTTAGCCCATTTAATCTATCAAATTTAATGGGATGAGTTATAATTATTAACACATCAATTCATAATAACCCACCCCACATAAATGCAGGTTGAAATGAGTTTGTGTGAGACAAGTTAACCCATTAGGCTACATTATTATTATTATTTTTTAGTAAATGGTTATATTTTTTTTTAACAAGTTCCTTAAAGTGTATTAGGGGGATTTTATGTTTCCTCACTTTTCACATCTAACCCTAAATTCCTTAATTGACCTCTCTACCTCTTGACTCACTTAGTCGATCTTCACCTAAATAAATTGTTTCATTAGTATAGTCGATCTTCACCTCAAGAAAAACAGATGGCAAAGCACGTGGAGAAAATTTATGGCGAGTTGTGGGAAGGGTTGAGCTGTAACATAGGCATCCAAAAATTCGAAGATGATCATAGGAAGGGGATTTGTGGCAAAGTAACTCAAAGAGGGTTTTGAAACCAAGCAGAGGAGATGGTGTTCGATTAATGAGGTAGACAGCAGTGGAGACACAGTCTTGCCAATATTGGAGAGGAACCTTGGATTGAAAATGAAGGGCACGGGCTACATTAAGGAGGTGCTGGTGTTTTCGTTCAACCACAGAGTTCTGCTGGGGACGTTCGACATAAGAGTGAAAAATCTGAATTCCTTTACAGGAAAAGAAGGAAGACAGATTGAGCTCAGAAGCGTTATCACAACGAATCGATTTAATGGGAACCTTATACTGAGTAAAAATCAGAGTGTAAAAGGAGGGAAAAATAACAGAAAAATCAGACTTATAACTCATGAAATAAGTCCAAGTAAACCTGGTTGAATCATCAACCAAGGTAAGAAAGTAACGAGAACCTTCAACAGAGACAGTGTTGAAGGCCCCCCAAATGTCACAATGGACAAGGTCAAACGGGGAAGAAGCAAGTTTAGGATCTAAGATAAACGGAAGGCGTTTTTGTTTCGCCAAAGGACAAATAGAACAATGGTGGTCAACTTGCAAATAATCAGAAAAACCCAAAGTGCTTTTCATTGAATTCAAAACAGAATGAGAAAGGTGACCCAATCTCGAATGCTAGACAACATTATTCTTAACAGAAATCGAAAAACATAGGGGATGGGGAACACAATCAGTGGGAAACAGATTCGTGGTGTCCAAAATGTAAAGGTCACCAAGGCGTTTAGCAATCCCAATCATCTTCCCTGAAGCATGATCCTGAAGAACACAAAGAGAAGAAGAAAAATTAGCCAGAATGGAAGAAGCATGGGTCAAGGCACTTATGGACAAAAGGTTGAAAAAAAAGAAGGAACGTATAAAACGTTAGAAAGCAAGAGAGAATCAGAAATTTTAACAGAACCTTCAGAAGATACAACGACCGAGGAACCATTAGGAAATGAGACAGAAGAAAGAGAAGAAAAAAATGAAAGAAAAAAATCAAGGCGGACACAGACATGGTGCGTAGCACCGATGTCCAAAACCCAGTAAGAAGGGGGAAAGGAGATGGGATGCTTACCATGGAGACTAGCCACCGAAGGGGAGGAATCGGTGACAGAAGATGTGGTAGACGGAAGAGACAATGACGAAGTAGAAGAAGCAGAACTCTGTTGGAGAAGCGAAATCAGTTGATTGTACTGGGATGGGGTGAAAGCAAGGGGAAAATCATAGGGAGGAAGATTAGGGTTCGGATGAGGGAATGATTTAGGGAAAGTAGGATTGTGAGGAGAGGGTGAAACAATAGAATGGGCTTGGGCTGTGGGTTGGGCTGGTTTAGTAAAGTAAGTGGACTTAGGGGTCCTGGGTGTGTAGCCTGGTGGATATCCATTGAGCTTGAAACACTTATCACGAGTGTGGCCTGAAAGATGGCAGTAAGTACAAATTGGATGGCGGCGTTGGAAGGCAGCCACCGTGGGCGGCGGACAAGAACCAAACGAATAGGAGCCTTGTAGAGAACCAAGCAGTGGTGAGTCCGAAACAGCAGGCGACGACAAGGAAAGTGACAGTTGACGTTGCCTCTCCTCCTGAAGGATCATGGAGAAGACCTTAGCAAGCTGTGGAATGGGATCGATCATCAAGATCTGAGCACGCGATGCCGAGTATGAGTCTTTCAGGCCAATTAAAAACTGTAGAACATGATTCTGTTCACGATGAGAATGAATGTGACGAAGAGCCCCACATGTGCAAGAAGGAAAGGGAGCATAATCAAGCAATTCATCCCAAAGTGATTTCAGTTTAGTGTAATACCCGTTGACATCCAATGATCCTTGACACAGAGAGGAAATCTGCTGCTTAAGTTGGAATATGCGAGGACCGTTTGCTTGAGAAAACCGTGTTTTCAGATCTGCCCAAGCTTCATATGCATTCGTAAAATATAGGAGACTATCAACAATCTCCTTGGTGACAGAATTCAGGAGCCAGGAGAAAACCATGGAATTACAACGATTCCAAAAGTTCAGTGGAAGAAGGACGGAGGAGGTTACCGTCAATAAAAACCAACTTATTTTTGGCTGTCAAGGCAAGCATCATAGCACGATACCATGAATTGAAATTGGAACCAGAAAGTGGAGTGGAAACCAAAACAAGACTTGGATGGTCACTGTTATGTAAGTAATAAGGACTAGAGGAATCATCCATGGTGGTGGATGAACCTGAAGACGCAGAAGTTGCATCAACCTGAGGCGGGCGATTAGTGCCTCGAGCCATCAGAACAGGAATACTACTGATACCATATTAGAGAAATTGGCTTACTGAAAAACTGAATATTCATATTGTATTGATTCAAGTGAAAATTGAATTACAAGAGGCCACCTATATATGAGCCTTAACCAAAAGAAGACGTAACAGAAATAGGTGTGACCATGTGCTCACACAAGGTGCAAAACAGAATCAGCTCAAAATATAAAATGTACACCTCAGCAAGTTAGTTACAACCACAGATAACAAAATAACAAAAGAAAATAATATGCTAATAATATTTAAGTACTTTCATTTTTTTGTTGTTGTGTTGAGTGACTTTATTTTCTTTTGATTATACTAATTATATTGTTTGACGAAGAAAAATTGAATCTTGTTTGATATTTTATTATTTTAAGTGAATTAACCGGCTAACCCGTCACGAAATAGAATGAGTTGGATTTTTCAACCCATTTGCAAAAGAATGTCATGCTCTACCCTTTTTTTTTGTCAGGCTAAAGGTAGTACGCGGTACAAAAAAGTGTCAGTGCAAAGGTCACTTGCTGGAACTCTGGCGCGAAGTGTTTGCAAGCAAAACCAAAGAAGCTTACATGAAATATGTGGCAGATTTAGATGCCCAATTTTGAAGTCATTCTTCCATGGTTCTAGATGAGTCTAGAAAAACTAAATTGACACTCACATGAAGTGGGCTCTAGCACCACCCATCAACAAAGTATAGGCACAACACAGTAGCCAAAACACGTCCATAGAGCAAAAGATAAGATTAGGGTGCTTCAGTGGGGAAGGAGACTTGTTACAGCGCAAATCTCTTCTTATAATATAAATTCAATCTTTTCTTCACTAAATGAGTGTGCATGTTTAATTTTTCTTAAACAAATCTTGTGATTTATTAAAAAACAAATAAATGAAAATAAATTCTTTTAAAAATAATTAATATATTTTATCATTTCTAATATTAAAAGTTCATGTAGATTGCGATTGCCAACTAAGCAAGGTGATGAATGTGTTACGTGTCTCACGCTTACACCTCTCAAGTGGAGGTTTCTCTAATGTGTCAACTAAGCGTGTCGGCACATAGCTTTCTGTAAAATTAGTAACCTAACCATGGCTTCCCACTCTCCCTGTACATTGTGCTCGTGTACCACACCCATCTACCTCGACCCATTCAGAACTACTTCTTCTTCTTCTTCGTATTCTTCGTATTCTTCTCCATTTATCTACTCAATCAACACTTCCAGCTCCAAACGTCGTCGTTTTGCGGCATGCTCGTTGCACCACCACTCTTCTTCTTCTTCTTCGCCAATTACATCCAGTTCGGATCCCAGGTCGAGCAAGCCGGTTATACTAGACGCGAACCCGGGTTCCACCCCCACCGATAATGAGGAGACCCGTTTGACTCAAAACCCGACCCGTTTAAGTGAAATCCGGACCCCAAGTTTCAAGTCTTTGTTCGGATTCGGAGAGCGGTACCTACGGCGGAGGATCCTGTTCAGATCGAAGAAAGTGAGAAGCATCATTTTGCTCAATGTCATCACTTTTGTTTACGGTAACCTACATTTGCTTTCTTCCATATCCTTTGTTGTTCTTTATTTTTATGATTTGCAAAATTGAGATTTTTGTAGGATTAAGAATGAGAAAAACAATTATGCTTATGCTACTACTCATGGACATTGTAAATTACTGCATGAGTATTTCTCGTCTTTGCAAATGGGGGTTTTATTTTATTTTATTTTAATTTAGGAAGGAAAGGGGAAGAGAGGGTAAAAGTAAATTAATTAAGAAATTGGATGGAGCTTAAAATGTTAGGTCTCTGTAAAGTTCAATGGTTATTCTTGAGACCCATGCCACATTGGATGTTATTACTCTTCTTGCTAGCTATGCTTACTTGAGGAGTTGATCCCCTCCTGCTCATGTAACTTCTTCCTAATGCACACCTTCTTACTAGGTGGGTATCTGTCAGACTTGTCTCTGTTATAAAGGTGATGTTAAAATCATTATGAGAGTATGATCTGTGTTTAAGAAACTGCTTCAATAACATATGAAGTGTCATGCAATGCACACAAGAAACCAAAAATGAATTAATACAAAGTTAAAGCGTACTATATAAATGCAACAAGGAAAATTCTAAGCCCAGTGTTAGATACTGTATCCTCAAGCTTCTTATTCATAAAAATAATTAATTTAAAAATTAATTCCAACAGTCTCCATGTGCAGATTGGGGAGTGTTGTAAAGTATGAGTACAAGTGTGTAGCGTATGTTAACTATATGAGGATGAGCTTTTACATGTCATGGTGCTGTGTGGCCATAATTCTTTATGCCCTTTGGACCTAAAGTTGCAATGAAGGTTTTGGCAACAGATTTATTTTTGGTTACCAAATGGAAAGACATGACCTCCGTTGCGAACACAACAAGTATACCGGTTATTCCAAATAATAAAATGATGAGTAAAGTATTCACATGAAGACTAATTACAAACAATAATTCAATGTTTTCTTCTAAGTTAGACAATTCAAAAGTGATTTGAACAAGTAACCAAATTTAATTAAAAATCAATTAAAGATGACAGTTAAAGAAATTACTCGAAGACGAATTTAATTCAAGAATAAAGATGCAGCTAGGGTCTACTTCATCTTTGATTCCCCTTAAGTGAATTAAATTAATTCAATAAAATTTCAACTCTATTGTTATCAAACGATTCATCATCTAAATATTAATTGATTAAATCCATAATGTTTTAGTTATTTAACCTTTTAACCTAATTAGAATCCTAATTTCTTAGAAACCCATTTTAGATTAATCCTTGAACGCGATGAATCTCACACGTTTACAAATCTCACAAGTCTATGTCTAGAACAAGCAAAAATCGGTATTTATCTTAGTTCAGATTAAAATCCCAAATATTTCTACTTAGAATCTAACCCTCTTTATTCCTATATGGTTGATCAAGTCATATAAGAAATTGAACAAATAAATCAGGATAAACACATAACAATTGAGACAAATTTTATTGAAAAACAATTAAAATCAATATAAGAGTTATCATTGGATCCATATCCCTAATTACAAAAAGAAAATTAGCCAAACATAGACATATTTGGCTTCAACAAAATATCAAAAGAAAAGAAAATTAAAATAAATTTCTGGACGAAGAACGATGATGAATCTCCATGTTTCTGCTTCTATCCTCCTTCAGTTCGTTCACGGTCTCTGGTCTCTGTATTCTTCTTCCTCAGCTGCGCTCCCGTGCCCGAATTAATTTTGCTTCCAAATTTTTTCTCTTTATATTGAGGAGAAAATTTCCTTAAATCCCCCCAATTAAATCTTCAATCCAATCCTTAAAAATCTTCAAATTCTCTAATTGAATCTTCAACCAAATAATTGTTTCACAATTCGAAAATCAGCACTTGAGGACGTGGCAATTAAAGTGGAAAGCTTGGCGCTTTTTGCGCCAATCAGAGAAAGAATTTGGCGCTTTATGCGCCAACCAGGAAGGAAAGCTTGGCACAACATGCTACATTTTGTGAGGAAAGTTGGCATCTTTTGCGCTTGTAGAAAGAGGGCCTTTGAGCACCTGTTGGTAAAAAGATTGAAGCTTTGTGCACCTGCACTTTGACCTTTGAGTTGGCATGGAAAAATGGGACCTTTTGCTTTTATTGATACTTTGAGCTCTCAAACTTGCTTTTCTTTAATGAGAAAAATTCCTACAAAATATGAGCATTTCTTGTGAGAATATTAGTGAATGAAATAACACTTTAATTATAATTCTCATATTTTTTTTTTTGATTATTTTTAGATTAATTTCATACTCATTTTAGCTCTTAAAAGATAGCAAGTTAGCAGCTCATCAACCTCTTCTGCCTTTAAGTACTTTTCTTTAGAGTAGTCTATCAAGCAAAATAGTGGCACTATAGTGGAGGAACATTGCGTCACAGTTCTCTGCCACTCCATAACTCTTATAGTGTTGTGATAGTCACTGGATTCACCCAACATCCTTGCAAATCGTGTATCAAATTTTCCATAAACAAATTTTGGTAATGTAATCATAAGAAAGAAGTGACAAATCACATATTGGTACCTGTTAGGATATCTTTACAAAATATTGATTGTGCTTGAATATTGTAGAATATGTGTTGTGCAATTTCGCATTCAAATAATAATCACTCAAATACGCAAGTACAGGAACATTTAGGGGAATAATCACACAAATACGCAAGTACGAGAATGTGTTGTTCAATATCGTAGAAGTTGTGCAATCGTAGAATATGTATTATATAAAGCTACGACTCTATGTGAAGCAATAAGAGTGAAATAATTGTTATGGAATAAACTAAGATTAAACTAATAACTAATGACTAAACTAAGCTAAGACTACTGACTAAGTACTAGAACATGATTAAAAGATTAAGTTTCAAGTATCAAAAGATAGATTGAGATCTATTTTTCCAATATTGTAACTTCACTAGAATGCAGTAACAATGTTATAGCTATCCTCCATCAGTAACCAACACACTTGTGTATGTAGGGGCTCTCACCAACCTTACATGTATACTCAATAACTAATTATCATATCTCTATGGCTAAACTAATTACTAAATTCATTAAGTGCAAGTTCTATGTGGTTTTGTGATGTGAATAATCTCTCTACCCACTCTTAACTAACTTGATTTAGTTAATCCACAATGTTTAATAAGGTTCCGGGTTCACCTATATATCTATACCCCAAATCCCATAACACTTGCAGCTCTCTCTCGATAATTCAACAAGATTAGGAATGAAGTATTTTATTAAACAACTTAATGGAAAATAACATAACAAAGTTTAGGCAAACACAGTTACATTACAATACGGGGGTACTCATTCACCCAATCCTAAAATTTTTAGCTCATACTTGAAAAGAAAGAAACAACAAAGAATGATAAGACTCCATAGAACTAAGATAAGATATACATGGGCAATGTTGTAGCTCTGCTCTAGCAGCAACTCCTTGCTTAAAGCCACCATCCACTGTCTCTCAGCCACCAAAGTAGTGCAGGGATCAACCAGAAGTGATCTCTCTATTGGACCGTAGCTTCACCTTTTGACCCGTTGAATGTTTGTAGGTATCTCTTTATATAGAAAATAATGACTTGGATGCCAAGTAACTCCTTTAATTCGAATTCCCTAAAAAGTAGATTCTTAAGAGGATGAAGGTTTATCTTTAAGCATCAGTTTTATCCTCTTGTTAGTTGAATTATAGGGATTGGAGAAGATATGTGCTTATCCTTACTATCCTGATTCGGTGCTATAATTGTCTTATCTCTTCGTTTTAATTTGGATTTCAAAAGTTAGTTATTCCATCTGTCTTGAGCACACTGTTTCACTTAAGCACGATTGCTAAAGCTCTGCTACGGCTCTGATATGCAACACAAATTCCAAAGACAATTAATAACTCTAGCACTCGAAATAACATCAAATATCAATACTTAGCATATTTCTCATTCAAAACATAAAGGGACAAGATTAATGCCAATATCATATAAATCTAAGGGAATTAGGCATAATATATGGCACCAAATCATTAAATAAAAGCCTAAAAATAACTCTCTAAGGGAGAGTTATCAATATGTTTGTTTCTTCTTGAGCCTTCACTTAACAACTTAAGCTTCTTGGAGAGTTGGTCCTTGACCCGTCTTAATGCCAAAGTTGACATTTGAACTTATTTTGGGGCATTCTTGGGCAATCAGGGTGCAAGCGAGAAATAAGTGAAAGAGTAAAATTTGCTTTTGAAGGTTGTAGGCGGATCACAATTGCAAAATAATCAGATGTGCAGTCTGTGCAGCTTTGATATTTACAAATGGAAACATATTCTCTGCTGACTCTGTAGGTTACACATTTATCCAGTAGCTGAATCTGATGAAATATTGATGGAAGAGAAAATAAAGATCCTAACATTTACACGTTTGGACATCACTCTCGGAGGAAACCGTTGAGTACAAGCAGTATCTTCTTGACATGGTTTTGGGACAGTATATCACATGTTTTTGGGAAGCTTTTAAAGTTTTAACTTTGAGGCCTGAACCTTGTTGCATATCGAACAAAATATGGTTCAGTCATGCTGTATGAATTTCTACAAGAAAAATCATGGAAATTAAAAAAGTAAAAATATCAAATTAAATAAAATAGGAAAATTAAACGCTAAGCAACTTGTTGCGCTTATTATTCCTTGTAGAAGTTTTGATCTACTATACACAGACAAGAGCATAAGCTTGAACATTTAATAAAACATGCAAATTTAAAGCTAAGCAACTGAAACTTTAAATGAAATCATGAACAATATATGGTTTAGTCATGTTTTGTGCAGATCTGATTTGCAAGTATATTTCTTGCATTGGGGGAAATTAATATTAATAGAGACCATGAGTACAAAAAATTAAAGTAGTTTTTGAAGTGATCATCGTGTCCTTGTATATTTCATAATCTTACTATTTCCTTTTCAATTTATGTCTAGCTAGTAACATTCCAGTTGTCAAAGAGGCTGAGGCAATTATGAATCCAGCAGCTTTCACATTTGTGCGCTTCGCTCTTTCTGCCATTCCTTTGATGCCATTTGTATTGCGAGGATGGGGAGATTCTTGTACAAGAAATGCAGGCATAGAGTTGGGTTTCTGGATCAGTCTTGGATACCTTTCACAGGCACTTGGACTGCAAACCTCTGATGCTGGTCGCGCATCATTTTTATCTATGTTTACTGTAAGACCATTGAATTTTCTAGTTATGTGAATGGATTTTACCTTATGTTGGTACTTGAAAAAAGTCAATCGTGAATATCTCCGATGAAATAACAGGTAATTGTGGTTCCGTTACTGGATGGGATGTTTGGGGCAGTAGTTCCAGCTAGAATCTGGTTTGGAGCTTTTATGTCTATTGTAGGAGTTGGAATGCTGGAATGCAGCGGTTCGTCCCCAAGTGTAAGTTTTATCTTCATCATTATTTCTTCCCCATCTTTTCTTCTCATTTATAACGAGGCTTATAATATACATGATGGAGGACTATGGATTAATAATACTTGTGTCACGACTTAAATTCTGAGTCATGACCTACACACAAGTCAAATTAATCTAAACACCACTTTGCTTGGCAAGCCTATCTAGCACAATAAAATAGTTAACAAAATAATATTCCAAATTATTATTTTCAGCTGCTATATTTATAACATTCCACAAATGATAAACACCTGCTATAGAATATATATACTAGCGGCCAGCAACAAGAAGAAACAAAATATCTTTCAAATATGAAAAAAATACAACCCACAATAATTTCAACAACTAGTTTCCTATAGTTGCAGAACGATAAATCAAAAGGCCATCTATACAATAGAAGCCTACCAAAACAACACTACTAGAAGATTTACAACTGCTAACAGCTTGCTACTTAGTTGCCTAGTGATTTGGATGGAAAACAAGAAGGTAAGTCACATAGCCTCGTGAGGGCATAACAACCTCAATGAACTAGAAGTGAAACACTATGCACGGGTGGTTTACTTTTTTCAAAATTGAGATATAAACATGTTTGAATGATGAAAGGAAATAATATAAACAAAATCAATAAAATTTGTGTGAATGGTAAGTCAAGAAATTTATAAAGCAATGTAAAGATCATTGAAAAACAGAATAAATTCGGAAGTTTAATATATAGGGATCACACGAGAGAACCATATTTGAGGCAGCTCCACCTTTGTGATAGCCCGCCCTTTCCTCCTTAGAGTGGCTTTTCCTCTAGGGGCTGCTCCTTCTAACATGTAGCCTTTTACTTAAACAAGTCACATCATATCAGCTCATTGGGGTGGCTCCATCTTGTTGATAGCCCTCTCCTCTAAGGGCTGGCTGACCTCTCCTTTGGGAGGGGATAATGAACGCAAAGAATGACAAGGGAGAGAGAGATAGAAAGAAATGAGCTTTTCTCTTGGGGAAGAAGCTTTTAAAACAACATTTTTAAAGTCATATGGTGTGTTTCTACCTGAATGCCTAGTTCCTTGTTGATATGCTTCTTTTGTTTCCTATAACTTCATTAAATATTGTGCTGAATTCAGGTTGGAGATTTTTTGAACTTTTTAAGTGCAGTGTTTTTTGGCGTTCATATGTTAAGAACTCAACATATATCGAGAAGCATAAGTAAAGAGAAGTTTCTACCCCTCCTAGGATATGAGGTTAGTTACTTGTCCATTCATCTATATATATTTGTGTATCAAAATATATGCCTTCCTGTTAACCTTTTGCATTATTAATTTATCAAAGTCTTAATTGCAGATTTGCATTGTTGTTTTCTTTTCTGCCATATGGTATGTTGTTGGAGGTTGGATAAATGGTTCCCAACATTCCTTACCGTCATCTTGGACATTGAAAATGCTTAAGGACTGGATGGTTGGTTTTCCATGGCCACCTGCAATTTATACAGGGATATTCTCAACTGGTTTATGCTTGTGGGGAGAGGTAAAGTTATCATTCTTGGCACACGTCGGGGGTGTTTAGTTTGTTTTCTATTTTCATTTTAAGTTGATGTGTTTTCATTGATAATTGCCCTTGTTTTTATTCTTGATTTCAAAATTTTGTGAAACAAGAATGAATACAAGGTGACATTGTTTTAGTTATTAAGGAAAACATATTAACTAAAAATGAATGAAAAAATCAACAAAAAATATCCTCATTCCATGATTCTGTTTTTCTTTCTTAGTGGACTGCATTGATGAATTTTTCGGAATGTGTTTTATTTTATGCCAATGTAAGAATAATAAGGTCTATAATCTATATCTGTCTGGGAAGAATCGTATTTTCTGAAGCTCTTGGGTCCAGAACTTATCTTTCCCCCTCTTATTTGTATAAATTGGTCAATTGGATAATATTTATTTATGTTGTGTAGCTTCACAAGTAGTTTGGGTTTATATCTGTTTCTTGTCTAACATCATGAGCTTACTGTCAGATATTGTTCAAGTGTATGCGTAGTTTCTTGATGTGGTCTATGGAACTGATAATGAATTTGAATATTGGAGACCATGGTTAGATTTTCTACTGTATATTTTCTCTTTCTGTACCCATTTGATTGTCTTGTTTCTTTTGGCAGCTGGGTACCACTGCACGTGTTTTTGTTCTGTATCACATGAATTGTTTCCTGAATACGAACACTTTGCTCTGACTCATAAATTTGGAATCAAACTTAGTAGAATATCCTCCAGAAATATTGTTAGAAATCTATCAATATGAAAACATTATCACTAATTTTCAGTAAATAGTATGTTAATCATCAAAACTTAAGAATAAGTAATTTATCAAGGGATTTGGGGGGCTTACAAATGCTAGAGTTGTTTCCTTCCTTCAACAATTTTATGGGGTGAAGTTATTTTTTGGGTTCTTAGTGAGTTTTTGCTCGTGGCATGGTTTCAAAACCGAGAACTGCCCGCCCAGTTAAGAGTGGATGAAAACCGAGAACTGGTCCTTCCACGAGTCCAGTCAGAAAAATGGTCCTGAACCTTCTTTGCCATATGAATGGTTCTCAGTTCACTCATTTCAGTCACTTGAACCTGTTCAACCTTTTTTTATAGAAGAGAACAGTGTAAACTTTTGCACTAGAATAGAGGCCTGTAATGCAGTAAGAGTTTGGCTTCAATTTATAATAAGAAGCTTCACCTTTACATATTTGACGTGGGACTATTATAGGATGATAAGATTAAGCTCCCTTCTCTTTTACTCATTCAACGTGGGACTAATATAGATAAGAAAAGCATGCTGGTAAGTGGTAATAGCATAATACTTTTAGTTTAATACTTATTGTGTGATAAATCATTTTAATTATGTTTGAAATAGATTCATTTTATTTGAGAAGATTCATTTTTCTGACAGTGAATTCTAAGATGGATTCAATTGCAGATGGCTGCAATGTGTGATGTATCGGCCACAGAAACTGCTATAATTTATGGTCTGGAACCAGTCTGGGGTGCTGGTTTTGCATGGTTTCTTCTTGGTGAAAGGTGGGGTCCCACAGGATGGATTGGTGCTGCGCTTGTGCTAGGTAAAATAACTTATATATGCAAGATATTTTATTTGCTACTTTCTGATCATCTAATTCTATGACCACCAAAATTAGATATTGCAGTGAATAGTAAGGCTTGACATACTGGGATACATTAATAGTGAAACTGTTAGTTCATAATTGAAATAAACTCAATCCGACAAATCTTTATAGCATGAATTGTACTCGCGAAACTGCTCAGTTGTTGACACATTCAATTCGTTCCTATATTCTCTTGTGCACACTTCACAGTTCACACAGCTCAACCCCTCCAAGGAATCATAATGCACATGCTAAAGTCAGCTGCAGAATATTATGAATATTAGTAATGCTATTGCAGCATCTTTGTGGTCACAAGAAGACACTTTTTTGTGCCATTGATTTGACAAACTGTTCCCCTGATCGATGGCATAGACGCAGAGTTGTTTTTTCGAGTTAGAGTTGTGGCAATTTCTGACATGCCTAAATTTTATTTTTTGCTTTAACTCTGTTTTATATTTAATATTTTTGCAGGGGGAAGCTTAACAGTGCAGATAGTCGGAAGCAAAAGTAATTCTGTGGAAGAACAAAAACGATGAAAGAAAGGTGACAACCCAATGGTTTCGGAGAAAGAGAATGGTTTATCTCCATCCACAATAATCCTTAATTCGATGAAGGATGCCTCTGATTTTTTTGAGTAGGGGTATCACTAATAACGTTCATGTATGTGTTTCTTATTGACTTGTATAAGGTGTTCCTGTTATTCTTTTAGTTCGAAAATCAGCCTCTTGGGGAAGGGAGTTAGAGTCCCAGAGCCTTCCAAGGAGAGATTTTTTTGTGCCATGCTCCCTTCTAAAAGTAGAAAAGGAAAAAAAATTAGGAGGGAATTATAAAAAAAAAAAGAGAGATTTAAATGGGATTATTTTTTTCTATTTTGGGAAAAGGGATCATCAAACTTTGGTGGTCTTGAACCACTAAAAATATTTTCCTTGTCAAGTATGTTTATGCTATGCCTGTACTCCTAGCTCTTTCCTTTATTCATTAAATTAGAAAATTAAAATAGTAAAAGTAATAGAATACAATACATTTATGGGGAAAACTTTTCTTATTTTACATAAATAAAAACCTTACCTCCTGTTGAAACAAAATGGTGGGGCCATTGTTTTTAAAAAATAATAAAAAATAAAAATAAATTTGACACATAGTTCCATGTATCAGTAGAAAAAAGCTCTTATCACATGTGGCTGAAGACAATCCTACATTTATATACTGTATAAATAAAAATTGGAAAATAATACTCTTATGCTACATAAGAGTACATTATTTTCCTACACTAATTCGTTTTTCGTGTCAATTAATTTTTCTTTTCTTTTTTAATATAAAATATGGGACCCATATTTAATTTCTCTCTACTTTTTTTATCTCCTACAATCCTACAACATAAGAAAACTTAAACCCATAAAAATTATTAAATGCTTTCGCAAAATATAATCTCATAATTCACTTATTTACTACCCAGTTTAAAACAAAAAAGAGATGTGATTCTCAATTTTGAAGTCATTTCACTCTAAAGAACGAAAATTCTATTTTATAATATAATGACGGATTATCTCATGGCAGAACTATATATATTTGGCATGAGATTCTTTTACCTTATAAATGTTTATTAAAAATAAAACTTGGTAAAGCTTCTAAATATTATGCCAATTTAGAATTTTTTAGATTTTAGATATTTTGTCTTAACTCTGTAAGGAAGAATTTACGTAAAATGCTTAAAAATTAAATATATTCATGATAATATATTAAATTTATAAATTTCAATAGTATTGTTGTATTCACTCTTTTTTAAATTTTATAGTTCTGTTTCATTATTAAATTTAATTGAGCCATTAGGATTAATTAAGATTAAGGGACACCAATTGACGTTAGTAAGTACATATATATATATATATATATATATATATATATATATATATATATATATATATATAGAGGGATATGTTATATTTATTATCAATTTTATTATCATTGGATCAAAATTAAATTAATGATTATAAAATAACATCAAGTGAGAATTAAATGGTAGTAAAAAAATATAGCAGTAACTATAACCTCTCTCAGTCAAATCTAAAAGTTTGGTATCAAATTCTAACCGTTGATTTCTGCCAATCGATGGTTGTAATTTATTGGATCACACTTATTAAGTAATTATTAATTTCTAATAAATTATAACTGCTAGATTGACAGAATTCAACAATTAAGATTTAGTGTCAAATGATCTTGTCTATATATATATATATATATATATATATATATATATATATCATTCAATAACTCTTTTTAGTCTAAAATTATTTAGTTATACTTTTCAAATATAAAAAAAATATTTTTAATAATTTTGTAATTGTTTTTCGATTTTTACAAAGTTTGACATATACGATCAAATATAGTTCAGGGGTTGACTACATTTACAATACATGTTGAATTATAACAACCAAATTTGTGTAACTAGATGGATAGAAAAAGTTGAGTCTCATTCAGTGCTCCCGTGACCAAGATCACACCATTAAATACTTACAATGAAAATCTGTTTCACGCTTAAAAAAAAACAAGTAATGGCACGAAGTACAAGAGCACAACCATATAAACATATAAGATTTGTTTATTGGTCTGCACGTGTATTAGTGCATCTATATTAGTATAGGACACACCTGAATATATCTCTGTAACTAATCTCTTAGAGTTTGTTGTATGGTTAGTATTGAGCCCTATCCGTTAGTATTGGGCCTGACCCATGATATGGGTCAGCATCTATCTCTATGTATAACTTTCTCTTTGTATATGAAAATAATAATAACAATATACAGATTCTTCAAACACTTCAATGGATTCACTCTTCTCTCTCCTTGTACTCTCTTTCTTACACGTTCTTCTCTGTTGTGGTATCAGAGCCTTCGATATGAAGGCCTGATCCATACTGAGCTAAACCATGACTTCCGCATCTCCCAAATCAAACTTGCATGCATCAGATTCTCCTGCGATCATGGTTGTCAAACTCGCGAGTTTACTCGCAAAATCACACGAGTTTACGCTTCAACAACCCCTCAACGATCCTGTTTCTGCTCTAACTCGCTTTTGGCCCTCAGATGATAGAAGCGACGAGTTTTTTGGCAAACTCGTTCAATCGTACGAGTTTAACGATTAAACCAGCAAAAAAAAGTGACCAGTTGACCCGAAAAACCATTATATAAATGGCTTTTTTTAGCAAAAAAATCCCTAAATCACCTGATTAGTTTCAGCCACCAGCATTCCATATCGTGGGAGACGACTAGGTGACTCGCGAAGATGCCTCAAGCCACCGTCTTCTCCGGTCGTCCCTCCCTTGCGTGCTACTACTTGGTTGCCTTGCCCTTTTCCGTTCGTAGCTTCTCCACCATCTTCGTCGTTCTGCTTCGCTGTCACAGGTTAGTGCTCTGCTTTGTCTCTATCTCTTCTCTGTTTCGTTTTTTTTCTTGGCCGCGCGTTTGGTTTTCCTTTTAGCCTCTGTTCGGTTTCATTTATAAATATGGGATAAAAAAATCATTTTATAAATGAAACCAAATTAATAAAGCAAATTAATAGTTTTGCCTCTGATTGATTTTACAAAGAAAATTAAAAAATTATTTATAAGGCAAAATAATACTTTTTGCCTCTGTTTGCCAAACCAAATTAATAATTCATCGAATAATAAATCAAATCAGATTTATTTGATAAATCAAACAAAAATTAAATTACTTCATCTATTTGATAAATCAAATTTATTTGATATATCAATACTTCATCTATTTGATTTTACATTCATAAGAAAAAATGAAATTAATCCAAATAAAAATTTATTTGATAAATCAAATTACTATTTTTTTACTCATGTTTGCCTCCGTTTGATTTTACATTCATAAAAAATAAATAAATTAATCCAAATAAAAATATGCATATAAATATATTACTTTACTCATGTTTGGTTGAATTAAATTTGCTTATTATATTATTTTATGTGCATATAAATATATATAAATATAATTTGTATCTTGTGTTACGAGTCTACGATCCATGTTACGATTCTGCGATTTACGATTTTGGTTCACCCTTTCGAGTTTGCATAGAATCTCGAGTTTGACAACCATGCCTGCGATAGATTAGGAATCGTCACAAGGAAATCGAAAAGCATCTATAGAGAATCGCACATCAGAAAATCGCGCAATGGAAATCAGAGCACGACAAATGTTCAATCAGTCGATAACTTTGAAATTGATAGAGAATAACTACTTGTTATGGAATTAGATCATAGATCCAATTATTACTTCGCACCAGATGCATCATTTTTTGGTAAATCCAAAAATACCACTTCAATTTCAGTCAAAGGAAGATCGAATCAGTGGAATTCAAAATCCTGCATATGTTGAATGGATAACACATGATTCCATGCTTCTCTCATGGCTTCTCTCTACCATATCAGTGTAAACACCCAATTTTACCCCAAATATTAAAAATATAAAAGAACAAAAAAAAATAATAAATTGTGAACCCCTTATTATTATTATTTTTATTTATCTTTAATATAAGGAAAAAAACAAGAGAAAAAATAAAGGAAAGAAAAGGGCCGTTGGCAAAATAAAGCCAAGCCAAGCCAACCCAAATCTACTTAATCTAAAGGGGCGTTAACCCAACTCAGCATCTTTGCTTTTGTTAAACAAAACCTAGATTTTTTATTTTATTTTTATCTTTTTCATCCTTTCCAAGTCACGTTACAACATTGGTCTCATCCTTTCCAAGGGGCGGCAAATGCCTCACACTTCTCCAAGCACACGCAGGTGCTTTCATTCACTAAGAAGACCTGAGCTGCACTGCAAACTTGCCATCCACAGTCACCGCCTCAACAACTTGGCCATTTGAACCAAACCCTTTATATGAAGAAACCTCAAGATCTCTCCCTATAAATACCAAGAGGCTCACATATAAAAAAAAAAAAAAAAGGAGGAGGGGAAGCGGTAAGTCTGAAACAGAAATTTTTATGTTTTATCTGCTACTTGTCCTCATATAATTATTTGCTCCTAATCTATTATGTTCATAGTATTTTTCTTTTGTTATTAACTTTTTTTTGGTAAACCTTTTGTTATTAAATTTATCCATTAGGCAAGCTCAAAAAGTTTTCCCTTTATTCGCTATACTTTGTTGATACTTTGCAGTTTGCACTTATGATTTTAGGTGTTTCGCTTACATTGAATAAAATAATGATAAACACAAAGTGGGTTGCATTTCCCTGCACTTGTCTTTATACATTTGAATTGTAATCCTCATCTTAACAGAAGTCAGTCTAGCTAATAAAGGTAGTACGAAAGATTCAACCAATTAATCTGCGTATGAAATCATGATGCTATCTTGACTTGTGGATCCATTTCATTTTTTTTTTGTTTTCTTCGTCTGTATCGAAAGTAGATGGACTCAACTTCGCATGGGATATCGTTACCCATTTGATTCAATGATAGATCGTATTCTTACCTCTTAAGGGCTAGATCGAAAAGTTTAAAACCTTTTTTACTTCTTGTTAAAAACCTAGACTTACATGATTCCTTGATGCTAAAATTAAATATTGGGCGATTAGAAGAAACCCAAGTATATGAACTCTCTTGAGATTAGAAAGATAAAGTAACTAATAGTTATAAATTAAGGGAAAAATGTTTCCGCAGTTAATGCAGAGAAGTTATCTGTATTTATTCCCAAAACGACGTTGTTTTAGTATTGAAATCTTAAAAAATTATAAATATAAACACTATTATAACTCTAAAATAAATTAAAATTACAAAAACACCATGATTTCCGTCCTAAAACGACGTCGTATTGACTTACTGCAGATAACTTATCTGCAATAACTGCAGAAAAAGCGAACCCATAAATTAATATAGAAAGTGGGGAGTTAAAAATTAAAATTAAAGCATATTAGTTAACTTAATATTTTGCCTATTATTAATTGCTTCATTATTAC